AGGGTTCCAGTAATGACGCACACTGCTTCTTCTGATCTTGTGCGGAAGGCACTGGCAACTCTCAGAGCGCTCTGTCTGTAGATTGGACCCGCTTTTCTCTAAGATTTTTGCGTTTCTAATGCGTCAGCCCAAATGGATACACCATATATGAGCAAAGATGTTACTATTGATGACAGCAGTAGTTTTCTGCTCTGTTTTGGTCCACCAACGTTGGGCATCAGTCGTGCTAGGCTCGCTCTAACTACTGATGCTTTGGTAGTCAGATGTTCGACTTGTTGCTTGAAATTGAGTCGGGCATCAAGCATCACTCCCAGGTACCGAATTTTCGGTTGTGATGTGATCTCATGTTCTTCAACTTGTAACTTGATGGTTTCTATCGCTTTCCTGCTGGTAATGAGCACTGCTCCGCTTTATGCTTAGCTAGTTGCAAGTTCACCGTATCCATAAGTTAATCCGTCTAAATGTAATGTTGAAGGCCAGATTTATCTCTTCAAGGTGTTTCGCGACAATCACCACAGCAACATTATCTGCATATGCTACCAGTTTCACTTCTGCTGGCAATGCTATTTTCAGGAGACCATCATACATGTTGTTCCATAGCAGAGGACCTAGAACTGAGCCTTGTGGTACACCACCAGTAATATCATACTCCTTAGGACCACTTTTTGTGTCGTATTTGAGGACTCTGTTTGTGAAGTAGCTTGCTACCATTCTACGCAAATACCCTGGGACTCGTTTCTCTTCAAGGGCGCGCATTACACAGTCCCAGTTAGCAGAGTTAAAAGCATTTTTGATGTCTAATGCAGCCACCAAACAATACTTTTTTGTGCCGCGATTCCATCTCTTTCCAGCAATCGCATCCTTAGCTGTGTTGACGACCAGGTTTATTGCATCCAGGGTTGACCGTTCTTTTCGGAAACCAAATTGGTTGTCTGCCAGGAGTGGGTCGACTACTGGATTTATTCGTTGATGAATTATGCGCTCAAATATCTTACCCGCCGTATCTAGCATGGAGTGGTCGGTAAGATGACGGTTCTTCTGGTGGCTTCTTCCCTTTAGGTAACAGTACCCATCGTTGCTGTTTCCACTTACGAGGAAAAGTCCCCTCCTTGAGGCATGCATTATAAGCGTCTAGGAATAATGTTGGAGCTGCCTTTATGATGGTTTTTAAGGCTAAATTAGGGATTCCGTCCAATCCCAGCGCTTTATTATTCCCTACACGGTTACAAGCCTCCAGCAATTCTTCTTCAGTGACAGGTGGGATGTCGTCCAATTCGCTGTGTGTGTGTGTGTGTGTGTGTGTGTGTGTGTGTGTGTGTGTGTTAAAAGTCTTTACTGTTCAATTCCAAAAACTAATCAGCTCTTAAAATCAAAAAACCTCGTCGATTGCCGCAAGTTCGGTCAAAACCGGTTGATTCGTTCATGAGTTATCGTTGTCGAAAAAAGTTTTTTCGGAATTACATCGAAACTTCTATTTCTTGATAAAAACTTGAAGATTCTATATGAGGCCTGAAAAACTGCGTCGAATGCCACCAACCGCTCGAAAATCGGTTTATTCATTCAAATGTTATTGCAATTTGAAAATTCAAAAATCAGTGTTTTATCAAACTCCGATCAAACTTTTGAGCTTGAAGAGCTCAAGAACATACAAAAGCTATTTTTTTAGCTTGGAGAGCTCAAAATAACACACGAATTGTATTTATGAGCTCGGAGAGCTCAAAAACGTCATAAGTGCAATTTCAAGCGTTTAGGTATAGAATTTGCGGGAAGTTGCAGGGATGGCCTTCAGGGTCAACCGTTTCCCTAATTTTTATTTCTCTGATTATCTCTAATATTAACTCTCGATAAATTAAAAAGAATAAATTAAAAAAATAAAATTGAAATTTATAAAACATATTTTGATAGTACACCTGTGCGAGGCTCTGTGGACGCAGGACAGCCAGATTCGAGTCAGTTGAATCCCATGCTTGCTTTGATGGCGGCAAAAGAGAATGCCTCGACTATTGAAGAAGAAACATCAAACCACATAAATCCAGCGAGTAATACGACGATGAAAAATCCGGAGCCACTACAGCAGTCTGTTGAACGAGATAAATCCTCTAACGGTGGTGGCAGTGCAGGAAAGATGCAGAAGACATCAAAACCTTGTATAAATGTCACAACAAATCCACTTGACATTTCACTCTGTGCAGCACAACCTCCTTGTGCAGTTACGCAACCGTCCACTGGTTCCAAGGGTCGATGTAAACCACCAGGTATCGTAAATTTAATAAGTTTTTTTTTAACTGTTGTGATAAATTCAATAATTGGAATAGGAATTTACATTTCTATTAGTCCGGAACATCATTTAGAAAAACTCGTTCATTTATTAATTAATGCAGTTATACATAAAGAACAAGTAGATAACTATCTTTGGTTACACGGAAAGAAAAGTAAAGTCGAAATCACAATTGTAACATCGTTATCTAAGACTAGTCTTTCAATATCTTAACTTTTATAATTTTATATTTCAAAACTTCGTATTTACTCATGAATTGTTGCGATGTGAATATCGTATTTCTCACAAATGATCTAAGTCATAAATATCAAAAAAAATTTTACGATGCTGCTGCCAACAGAATGTAATTCGAATTATAGAAAAGTACGATGTTACTCAGTAAATTATTTTCTCATATCAAGTAAATAAGGACGCATACGATGTTCAAGTAAAAGATTGATTAATTGATTGGTTGATTAGTTATTTATTATGCCAAGGCTATAGACCAAATGGCAATTTTGAAAATTGAATAAACATCCATTTGTAACAAACCGGCGACTTTAACCGAGTGGTCAAAAGTGCACGGCCTATAGAGCACTCGAACTAACTCACCGGCCAGGCGTGGGTTCGAATCCTAAGCTGGTCTTTGGTTGTGATTTGACCTTAGCTGCGTAGGTTAAGATTCTCACAGCCCAAGAGACCCCAACATACCACTCCAACAGTAAGTCGGCGATATGACCACAGCAACTAAAACCGACTCTGAATAAAAATAAATTTAAAAACAAATGAAAAAAAAAACATTTTCACAAATTTGACTATAAATGTAGATACATAACACAATATAACTTATAACGGGATTTCGCCTGACCCGGGGATTTACCAAGCCAGGCTCACCGTTTATTTATTATTTGGCTTACTTAAAAAAAAATTTATCATTAATAAAAGGGCGCCAGGAGAATGATCTCCAACTAATTACTGCTTCGACTTCGGCTAGCTATTACCTCTTCTTCAGGGCGGCGGGCCATGCTGAAATACTCGTCATTAAAAAAAAATGGATAGCAAAATAAACGAAAGGCTTAAAATTACTTGAAATAAATTCGGAAGAATTAAAAAAAAATTAACAATTTATTTAACAAAATATACGTCGGCGGTCGATATTAATTTTTAACAAAAATTAATAAAACGTCGTAAATTAAATGTACGTTTAATTGTAACAAAATTAAAACTAATAAACGTCGTTATCTCCACTTCAATTCGTACACTCACAGTCATACATCAGCAATCACACTATGTAATAACAGTATCACAAAAAAAAAATAATCGTAAAGCGTTGAATCCTCGCGTATTATTTCGTTACTCAAAATATTTTACAAAATTCCAACGTGGACTCTAAACGCTGGATTCAACACTGAACAAGAACGTCGGCTTACCAAGAAATTGAGCGTCGTCCTCATCTTAGCAGCTTGGAAAGCTTCGAGCGGTCGACTAAAATAAATCATGAATTTAGAAAATAAATACTCAATACAAATTACAATTAATTTCAAATTAACAACTCGCGACAATACTTCGAAATTAATTTTAGGTTGCGGAGCGCGCAAAAGCGCGTCCGTTTCCGTCGACAGTCCAGCCTCGAATCGTCTTCTTCATGGAGAAGTACCCACTTCTTCCTTCGTTGAAGTTGGCGGCACTAGTCTTCATTTCCATTGGAATTGATCCCCGTCGATAGTTGATCTAGGTCCGTATAACAGTCAACGGACCTTCACGACAGTTTTTAATCACCTCTGCTCCTGCAGTACTGACTAACCAACTGTCATCGATGTTAATCGTCGTATTGGAAAATAGCGGCACTGCAGCGTCGATCGGTATCCAGGCCTCTCGGGTGTTTACGGCGCTCGATGCCTCGTCACTTCGGTACTCGCTTCGGTACTAGCTTGTTTACGTCGTAGCTCCATCCTTGTCGCTCCAATGCATAGCCTCGTACCCACTATGACTCGCTCTGTCTTCGTTACTCGTCCAGCGTTACGCATTTTACACAAAATAAATTCATAAAAATTAGTACAATTTTCATTCATTCACACATAACATTCACGACGTTGGATTCGAGCCTGGAATATTATAATACCCCAAGTATTGGGCGTCGAATAAAAATTTACCACGTTACAAACTATAAGATTATTTTTAAAAACAAGATATAGCAGAGAGTTTCAAATAAATTTTGATTCAATTTATAACTTTAATTTATAGCAATTTCTTTTTTCATAAGCTCTAGTAAATACTTATATTATCATCATCGATTCTATTTTGGTAATGCAGTTGACTAGGAAGACAGAAACATTTTAATTTGAAATTTAGTTGAGATTTAGTTTTCTAATAAAATAATAATACTGAACTATATCTGAGATCAAGTTGTCTCCCAACAAAAGTTCTTATTGTTTATCGAGATTTAACAGGAAATCAAAGATATTATTTTAAATACTTGTAAGCTGCTACAGTATACTATCTCCCCAGGTAGTTCATCCTAAAATCTTATAACAGTTACCAAGAAAGACTTTTCGAAGTAGGAAGTTGCTAAATGAGACATTTTGGAGCGAAAATTTTTTTTTTTGCTCACCCATCTGAACGCCGTACATCAGTATTTTCTATAGATGAGTTACGCAAGTATCCTGGTTTGTCTACTTCATCAGTTTTTAGAAGTAGCATTCCATGTAATATAACCTGCGGTATTTGACTGATTACTATTTCAGTTCTCATCGATGTGGAGTGATGTCCTCATCTTTTTTAAGATCAAAGATGAATCTTATCGCGGAGTTCATTGTTCACTGTAATGTGAGATCATTTCAGATGCAGAATCAATTAGCACAACTGTACACTAATCAAGGAGGCAGGATCTTTTCTGATAATAATTATTTCCTAATTTCAGTTGCATAAATATTTTTACTTACTTTAAGACTGTGAATAGCTAAATTTACTATATTTAAGATCTACGAGGCGTGAATTTTCCAGGACAAATTTCGATTTATATGGACCCCCAAAAACTTTGCTGAGTCAACATAGGGTATGATGACACCATTTACTATACTAGGAAAAACTTCCATAGTTTGAATTTTTTTTTTGTTGTAATTTGAGCCTAGAATCATAGCTTAAGTTTTTGACAAGTTTAACTCTAGGCTATGTTCTTTTACCCAATCTGCAATCGCTTGAGCATCAACAGTGTCTGACAGCATCATGAAGCTGGAAGATAAGAAAGTCTTGACAAATATACTTATCATCGTCAAATAGTCCATGCTTGCAGTAGATTATCCTTCTGACCTCTGCGTTCATGACTATCAAAAATAAGATTGGTTCAAGAATTGATTCTTTGGAAACTCCCGATGTTGTTTCTAAAAGCTTAATTGGAATTCTGAATTCGTCTAGTATTGATTGAGATCTATTTAATGAGTATGAGTAGAACCATAATATTACCTCTATCGAAAAACCAAGTTCAAATAGAGCAATCAATTGACCATTGGATCGACATAATCAAAAGCCTTGCTCAGATTTTTATCTATTGTCTGTTTGATGTCATCAGTAAGCTTCAGCAATGACGTCTGTGTACTGTAATGCTTACGGATCCAGATTGGAATTAGTCAAAAAGCTGGTTCTCTTCCAGATAATTTGTCACTTGATTTACAATTATTCTTTCTAATACCTTTGCCAGATGAGATAGATTGGTTATGGGTCAAGTATCAGATGTATATTTATCCGATCTTATTTTATTTAGAGAAAGTATATATGGGGCATTCCACGCCAAATCGGAAACCATTTAGCTTTTGCATCTCGGATTTTTTTAAAACTTTTTTATGTTTTAGCATTGAAAGATGCTTCCCGGATTTTTTTCAAATTTTTTTAACCAACCGCTTCCGGGATATTGATTTTTTAAAAAATTTAGAGATTTTTGAAGTGGAACTTCTTGAAAATCGTTGTGATTTCAAACTCGATCAAACGAAAAAGCGAGTCCATAGAGACACAAACACTAAAATGTATAGGATTCAGCCGGCGAGAGAATGAGAAAGAATACATTACACGTTCTCGGTCTCCTCTTTGTGCGATGCTTCGTAGCTTCTCCACTACCGTCTACTAAGCATTGTCTATATGTAGGCTCCTGTGTAGTGAGATAGTCAGTATATCTATATCTATATTATATCTTGCTCCAGGTCTGACCGTTCTACGCGTTTATGTTAGTATGTGTTTAATACATGTGTTTGCGCCTGCGTATAAGTAAGCTTTAATATGAAGCAAGCGTGTTGATTTTTGATGCATTTTTATTTGTGTGAATATTTTAATCTCCTTAATTTTACAATTATGCCATAAACTACCGGATCAAAAACAGTAATTGATGGTGCTTTCCAAAGATGGTTATAACTTACAAGTGGGATCAACCCAAGCTAAGCCATGTTAATTTTTTTTTAACAAGTTGAACATTTTTAACTTCCCGCTAAGAAAATCAAAGATTTAGCTGCCGCTAAATGAGTGTGTGTGTGTGTTTGTTTTTTTTTTTTTTTTATAGAGGAGGTAAAATACATTTACGTATGTCAGGGCTTGGTGTTGTTGCCAGGACTAGGTGTTGGTGCTTGGGTATGTCGGACTCGGAAGTCAATATTTGCAACAATACCGACTAAACATCCTCCTCTCTCCTTTCCCTATAGATGTTACAGGGATGACTGGAACGGGACCGCGTTAGCATTACTTCAATCCAGTCCATGTTGTGTCTCATGACACCTACTTCTTGTTACTAATTACTGGTTTCTAATCCCTTTCTGCGATTTTTTCTTTTAAAAGGCGCTGCGCGTAGGCTGCGACAGCTGACCAGTTTTCTTCTTTTTGAAGTGAAACTTCTTTAGAATCGTTGTGATTTCAAACCTGATGCAACGGAAATGCGACAGGTAAGAGACACAAATACAAAAATGTGTAGAATGAAGCCGGTAAAGAATGAGACAGAAATATTCACACTATTTTATATTATCGGTCTCTCCTCTTTGTTCCATACTTCGTAGCGTCCCCACTCCCGTCTTCTAAGCATAGTCGCCTGTAATTAGTGAGCCAAAGCGAGAGAGCACACTGTTTAATACTTGCTTGTATTTGAGCATTTAACGTGTGTTAGTATATGTGAAAAGTACGTGAGCTAATACTACTTTACACTGTATGCGGCTGCGTATTACAGCTTTTTAGTAAGATGTCAGCGTGGTTTGTTATTCTTTAACAGTGTGTTTGTCAGTATTTTTATATCTTGTTGTGCTAAATAATAAATTTTAGAAAAAGCCGAAAACTAATGCCGAAATGTGTCGTCAAAATCGACGCAAAAAAAATGAAAATAAAATTAAAATTAAAAAAAATCCAGGAAAAAGTTCAACAGAACGTAGTCGCGAGTTTCGTGCGCGAAAAAAACAATTATTGAACAATCAAAATAGATGTTCAAATATAAGTGTTAATGTGACTGGTGTAATAAATGGTAAGTGTAAATGTTTTTTAATCCTATTTTAAGTATAAACTAATATTTCAATGTTTTTCAATCAATAAATTTGATTTTTATTTTATAATGATCATGGATTATATAAATATAACCTCAATACACCACGTGTATAATCTTATTTATTTTATTCTGTTTTAGACCGCTCTCAGCAACAAAATAGTGTTCCAACGGGACATAATTTAGTAAATAATGATTGTAAGTACCAATAATTAATACTAACTTTCATCATTTAATTTTAAATAATTAAAAAAAATTTTTAAATTTAATAATAATTTGAGTTGGAAAAACTTAAAAATTTAATAATTTAATTTAAAAACATATACTTAATTTATAATTCATGATTTAAAATATTTAAAAAAATTTAATTTAATTTAAACTTATATTTAATAATTCTCAAATTAACAAAATGATTTATCATTTAGATTTATAGAAAACAAAAACAATTTTAAGACAGATGAATATTTTTGAATTGTAAAATAAATTGTAAGAAAATTGAAAATTAAAATGATATTAAAAAAAAATAATAATTTAGTTTTAAAATAAAATGTGGATAATTTTTAAATTGTACATATAATTTAATAACGATATTTGAAAATAATCATCATCTTAAAATGAGTTTTTAAAATTAATTTTATATACATTTTCAGAATTTACGATATAGTTTAAAATTTTAGTTTTTTAAAGAATTGATTCTCAATGCACAATCGATAGATAACTCGTTACATTCTTTGAATTGTTTTTTTTTTTTAGATAACCCTCCAGTAGATGTACAGCCAGAAATTCCATA